AATAAAGTAAGCCTATACAGCTACTAATCTCTAGAACCGTATTGCCAGTATGCTTTGTTGAAATGCCATCACCTTGCAGAAGAGACATTCTGTGTGTTTTGTACACATTTATGATTGAAGAATAAATTTTCAGAGACTATAAATGAAAAGATATCTCTGAACATAGTGATCAAATAATATCTGACACTGCTTATTTAAAGAAATATACATATATTTCACTGCCAGAGTATTTATGACTCTAATAAGTTTAGTTATTTTGCCTCATGGGGAAATTCCTGCTTCTCCAAATATCAGACTTGTTTGGGGCTTTGCTGTTTTTTCAGGAAGGAACAAATGATATTATTAGTTAAATGGGACTGCACAATATGAAAACACAATAGCATAGTTTAAAAATTGAACAGTGTGTAAGAAATATAATGTGTTTTACCAGCAAAGGGAAATAGACAAACATTAAAAATTCAATGACTTATCCCAAATGTCTAAAGAAATAAACAAACAAACATCACTGTTCAGCCAGTGATGCAAGGATGCTCTGTAGTTAGTTTCAAGAGCACTGTCCTCTCTAATATCCTGCCTAGTAATGAGTTCTGTGCATCACTTTTGCATAATCTGATCATTTTTTAGGTGCTGTACATTGTGGATACTGTCTGAACTCTGATTGCCCAGCAGGTTTTATTAGACAGAATACCAAGTGGTTTCAGGTGATTTCTCAGCAACCATCCTGGGAATAAGTGGTCTTATGGTTCCCAGAGCAACAGCCACATTTGCGTGTTTGTCATAAAAATGCGAGAGCCTTCCTTCCCATTCAATTTGGAAACACAGTGCAAAGTAAGATGCACCTGTAGATGTTCAGAGTTGTATTCCTGCTGCACAGGCAGTGAGACAGAAATACTGTGGAAGGAAAGATTCTGTGCCAACTTGTGTTTATTTTTGTGCTGTTTTTCTCCTTAAAATGTGAACATTTAAAGATCTGTTCTGAATCATAATGCTTTATGATGTTTCCTGTTACCTTAGTGATGGACTACAAAACTCTTTTACGTTGTTTATAAACTCTATTAGTTACTTACTTAATTAGGAGCCACTGCTGAAAGTTTCTAATAAAATTTCCAAAAGTACTTTAGTGGCTGAGGAGTCAAATTTCCAGCAACCTGTGTTAATTGTAAAAGGAGATTAAGGGAATACTGTCACAGCACTGTGCAGTGCTTAACCAGGATGGATTTACCCACCCAGGTCACAGTTCTGCACTGACACAGCTCTACTGGCTCGATCCTGGTGGTAGCTACCCCTTGGATAGTTCAGGCATCTCCATGCTGCTCTCTGAGCCATATTTGGAGTTTTACCTTCTATATTAAAAGCAAAGGTCATTTCTTCAAAATTTCTTTATTGAAAGAAGGGCTTCAAAGCTTACCTTGGTCTGTTCTCTCTGCTCCCGTGTCTGTCCTCTTGTGTTTGGCTCTGCCTTGCTCATGCTTTGTTACACTAAGTCTTTGTGTTCCCTCTCCAGATGGAGTTTTTGGAGACTTTGTGATAAGATTGCTTTCACTAAATTTTAGCCATCTAAGTAGTTAGACTTCTAATCCAAACTTGTAGACTTTACAGTTTTTCTTCTCCCATGAAGACTTTTAAGCTTATGAAAGTTGGATGAAAGAAATAGATACATGGGGAAGTATCAAAACCAGGCTTAGAAAAGAGATTGTTTTCCATTCTGTTGTGGAGGTGCTCATTGACATTCCAGCACACTTGCAGATGTACCAAAAAGGTGAAGACAGAGTGAATTATCGCCATCCTCAAAGAGACAGTTTTCCACCTTATTTTCCTTCTATTGAGAGGGCCAAACCATCAAAGAAAATGTGTGTAAGCACCTAGCACTGATGGGACATTTGATTTCTTGGCTGAACATCTATACGTGAGGAATTTCTTTATGTGGTTTAACATACAGTACTGGTACTTTTGCAGAACATATAGGAACTTTTTCTCCTTCGGAAGCTTGAACAATACAAGGGTACCCTTGGCTGTCAGTTTGCATTAAAAGAGCATTCAGTATTGACGAGCTAAGTTTGCCAGATCAGTTTTCCTCTTTGAAATGCTCTGACTCTTGGGTACCTGATTCTGCAGTTTTTACTTCACTGAAGCCATTAATGTTGTATTAATACTACTACTACTACTATCAATAATCATAATGAAGCCTGGGTTTACTTATGCATTTGTTCAGATTGTGCAAGGAATACATATGCTAGTTTTAAGAGAAAGTTGCATTTCAAGATTTGAGCATTCTGGCTGTGTCTCTTTAAATATTCAGATACAAATAAATGGTGAGAAAATTGTCTTTGCAAGCTTCAGACCATTCTAGGTCTACTCTGTTGCCTCCAGCCAGATGCTGTCTGATGTTGCCTAGACAAACCAGGGCAAACCATTATCATGGGATTAAACACTAAATACCTGCAAGGAGTATTCTCTTTATCAGATAGTGCTCTGTTAGCAGAGTTCATTCACTTTATTGCATATATAACTCTGGTGTCAAATAGACTGATTTACAACACCTGGTCTTTTACATAATCTTTGCTATTTGCTGCGCTTGTAATCTGCCAAATCATTTAGCCTTCCTGATAGCAGGAATGCTGTAAAACTTAGATAAACTTGCAGAAGAAATGAACTCGAAGGTACTGCTGAAATCTAGGGCCTGCACGTTTGCTATAAATGCACTGGCTGGTTTGGTTTTTCCCTACCTAATCTGTGATTGAATGTGGCTGCTGGAGAAATTGAAATTTTATGATAGCACTACAGTCAGAGGAGATAAGCATTTGTATGCTAGACTAGATTAATCTAAAAAGAAGTTTTAGGTGTGGCTAATGAAACCAGTGTATGTGTTAACTGGGTTTCTTTGGGGTTCAAAGCATCTGCGTGTATCTATATAGCGTCTTGTCCAAAAGTTTCTCTACGTGAAAAGTCTAATATAGCTATGTGCTAGTTCTCACTATTAGTGCAGCTTATTCGATCTTACATTGGAGATATCTTTAAGGAGCCTCAGTTTTTAGGGGGTAGTTTCTGAATGCTAATACAAACAACCGACCCCTCTAAAATGGTATTACTTGGCTACCCCAAACCCCCCATGTCCTTCCAAAATTTTTGGTTAGGGTAACTCTAAGTCATCACATTTGCATAGGGTTAGCCACTTACACCGTGCAATTGAAACATTAAAGCTGCATTTTTTTTTGTTTTGAGTCGCTCAGTTTTGGCTATTGGGGTGATTTAAACAGATAATAGAAAGACATGTAGACAAGCTTAAAATGTGAGCAATTTTCAAAATGGGTGATTGGGTGAAATGCAAGCTAGTACATCAAAAGAAAGATAAAACAGTCTATAGACAGTCAAATAGAGAGACCTGTGAGGCAGTAATGTCAAATCAGATTGTGTTAGAAATGATGGTGACCATCAGATTGGAAGAAACAATAAAAAATGAAGGAAATTAAAGAGCTGACTTTTCAAAGCAGTCATAGCATAACTCCAGTGGTTGTCATTAGCATCAACATTAGCACGTTAGTTCCACAGTTAACTCCTTTGAGCTGAGGAAGTATTTCTATGTCTCAGAAATAACTATAAGTTACCTTGTCATGGTCAGTTTTCTGATGATGGTTCGGACATAACACTCACTGTTGGAGCTAATGAAGGGTATTTTGCCTGGCATTGCTAGTTTAGGGAAGTAAGTCTTTTTACCCTATGCTGTTACTACATGATGCTCTTGGACAGCGCAAGTGGTAGTCTGCCTCTGGGAGATACATTGTCAGCTGCTAATCTTTCATATCAATAAACTATTCTGAATATTTGTACTTGATAATTTTTCATCTGATCTGAGGGGAAGAATGTGCCCCAGCTGTCTGAGTTAGTTGCTTAGTCTTCCTAAGCTGTCAGTGTTCTGAAAGGAAAAACAGAGGCTTCTCTCAAAGCAGGAGAACAGCTTGAGGTGCTTCCTCATGCTGTGGACTAACTCTGCTTACAAGAGAGGGACCTATGGAAACCAAGCAGCCATGCTGATACCTTAGTCTGGGAGCTGTGAATACTATTCTGTGCTTGTGTGAATTATTTCAGCTTTGAGAATATCAGGTAGGTTGGTGCTAACAACAGGATGAACAGGATAAAACTCTTGAGTGATATCTTTAGACTGGAGAACAGCCTCCCTGGGAAGAGGTGGAAATGGTATTGTTTAAGACATTTAAAAATGGAGGGGAGAAAATATATTGTAATGGTGAATCCTGTGCTGGTATTTAGATCAGGACTTGTCTTGTGTCAATATTAATGTGAAGTCTCTGTCTGAAGTAACTACTGTTATTCAGTGTGCCTTACCAGCTAACATTGGCTTGCAACCTCCCCCCACATCTGTACTCACACTTAAAGGACAGCCTGACTAATGTTTAGCACCTTTGCCTTTTCTCTTGGTACCTCAAGTGTTGATTTTGTATTGCCTTGCTTAGATTATATTCCTTCAGTGCTTCCACCAGACAGACTCCATATAGTGCATAGAGATTTACAGGAAGCACGTGTAGTTTGTGGCAATAATAATAAAGTTTCCTGCTGTTTTCAAATCCCTGAGAAACTAAATCAAATGTAGAGGTCTATTCAAAAAAGTGCAGCATGTGTATAAGTCACTTTACCATTACCTGTGTGAGTCTGCCTTGTAGCTGTTCGGTGTATTTGGCTGTCATATCTCTGAGGTCTGTCCTTAGTCTCTAGAGCACGACTAAGACATTACACACCTCAAATGGAAAAGCTGATGAAATAGCTTAAAATAACCTGGACACCCATGCTTTGCTTGCCTCTCTTTCACTACATATGTCTTGGTATTTGTCATAGCAACCCATACAGCAAAACTCGTTCTGTGATGGAGGGCCCTATCACACAAATCTAGGTCTAGTCTGAATTGTGAAGGCAGGAAGACTGGATTCAATTCCTGCAGGATGCTGTGATGCTTAATGGAGCTCTCTTTTCTTGGTGTGTTTCTGTAGGTATGGAACCTGTCTTCCTGACCTTGTTGAAGCTATGGGTCTGATATCTTCCCCAGGATGCCTCTGCAGAGAATCTTATGACGGGAACAAAACGCACACGTGTCGTCCTGTGAGCTACAAGCCGTCGTCCTGGTACCAGACATCTCGCAGATCTAGAAGCAGAGCAGATGAGCTAGAGGAGAGCCAGCTCCTCCGGGAGATTTTCTTCATTTGACGCACCTCATTGGTCTACAACCCTTCTGTAGAATTTTTAGGACCTTTATCTTGCAGATTTGTTTCTGTTCAAGTACCATTTCTAAATTATTTGGGTGACAACTGCTTGTCTTTCCTCTTCTAAAACATAGCTAATTAGCATACAGTTTCATTTTGGATATAGTAATCATGGTGCGAGAATATTGTTGGGGTAGACCAATCAGAAAGCGTTAACTTTTTTTCCTAAAACATTCATGTGCCAAGTAATCATTCTAAAATTGAAGTTTTTTTCTAATCTATAACATTTTCTAATGGATTGAAGTCACAGTTTTGCCAGCCTCATATTGGAAGTATATTTCATTATCGATTTTTAGCTCTGAAGCCATTTGCAATAACTGCCTAACATTCAAGAACCGCCACATTCAAAGTAGATTATTTTCTAATTAAACAAGTCAGTTTAAAACCTGGCATATTATAAAGATACAAGCACTTTAATACTTTTTTCAGTGATTTTTATGATCTACTTTTTCCTTCAACATTCTGATACTTAACATGATGGGTTTTTAGGTGGTATATCATAAGTTCAACTATACAGTGTCTAATAACATGAATAGATGATGTTACAGGTTGATGTACTAAGAATCTGTTTGAAATATATTCCTCTTCACATCAGTGCTATTTGACAGAGTTTATGTGCTGGGTAACCTGAAATAGCAGAAAACAGATATTGCAGTGGTCCAAAACCTTTTTGATGTACTTTTCAAGATGAGATATATAGTAGTGGTAGTATAAGAACAGTCTTAAGATATTTTCACTAACTTGCACTATTTTGATCCTTTATCCCCCCTCCATTGTAAATAAGACAAATCAGTAATTATTTCCACTGGTGGCTCGTGATGCACATTTCCCTGCCAGCTTTAATTATTCATGCTGTATCTATTTCAGTTTATTTAAATGCACTTCCATCTACTGCATGTACTTGATTATTTAAAGAAATGTGCCGAATTGGTAAAAATGACTGCAGATTACAGGATTAATGGCCATTTTCTCCACAATGCAGTGTTCGTATTTTATTGTAACAGTAGCCACCGGCATGTGTTCCTAGAAATATGAGGCTAAAATACTCATTTTGCACAGTAAAATTGCAGTGAGGGAAAGGTAGATTTGAGCCAGTACAGGCAAGTTCTAGGCCATTTCCTCCCAAACACCACTTTGTGGGCCAGTACAGACTTTCTGATATTCTCTTTAGGCAACCCTGCTTATCTACTGATCCTTGGGGTATCGTTGCTGCCTACCTCCCACATGCTTGTTCCTTCGCAATGTTTTGTCCTCTGCAAGAAGCTAGCAAGGCTCAACAGTGAGGCCCTTGGTACATATCTGATGAGCACATCATTGCAAGGTTATCTTAGCAGGTGCCCCTGGCAGCACCGTGCTCTTAGAACAGTAAAACAAAAGGAGAATGTAGAGGAAGACAAACCTCAGGTTACTCTGTGCAGCTTCATTCAGGCCCAGTCTTAATCACAAATTTGTACATCCCGGCTGAATTCTAAAAGCTGTTTGGGGGAGTTTAGAGGAAGGTGGCATCATTGCTGGACCAGAAAATCACTGCTGTGGAAAGGTCTGGCTTGGTCTGTCCTATGGTCAGTGAATTATTATAGTTCTTTTAAATATGCTCATCTGCTGTTGAATGTCCCTCTTTATCTACTCTCTGAGCCTGCAAAGGCACAGGTTTCTGCTTAAAGCCCCAAAGATGTATTCAGTGCCATGACCCAAGTATAGCAGAGGAGGAAATGGGTTTTCTCATTCTGCTGCCTGAGTAGACTGCTTCTTTAAGAGAGCAGGGAAAGGGAAGGGAAAGAAAAGAAAAATGTGCAAGAAACAGCAGGAAAACTGTGGAAAACCACGAAGAAATTACCATCACATAAATTTTAGGGTTTTGGACTGCTTTATGGTGTTTTTTTGTTTTGTTGCATATTTTTTTATGAAGGTTTGGCATTTATAAAGAAACAGTTCTCTGATTTCAGTCCAATTGCTTTTCTTCTCTTTTTAAGTTTGACTGAAACTTTAATTGCCTTTTCTAATAAGTGCTAACTGACCTTTTAAAACAGCAAAACATACATGTATTATCTCTTGAAAGATGCCTTTGTGTACCCAGTTGAGAACACTGTGCAGTAGCATTCCTTGTGTGTGCCAATATTTCACTGCTTTGGGATTCCTTGTCATCCATTTTTTCCATTAACAATTCTAATTCTGAGGTTGACTTTTGACTTGAATATATGTTTTGGTAGTACCTCTTTTAAAAAGGACATTGTCAGGGTTGTGGGCTTTGTGCTCCAGGTGTTGTCCGTCAGTCAAAGCTGCATGGGACGCATGCTTTTATGAAGCAAAATTTATAGAATTAAGATGATTGAAACGTCTGATGAGTGAAGACCTTCATGTTCTAAACGTATCTGAGATGTGGACAAAGAAACAAAAGCTATTAATTTGGTAAACCCTGTGAAAAATAATTTTTTATAATGCTTGTTCTTGCTCTTGTTATCAACAGGACATTAGGAATAGTGTTTAGCAGTCAGTGCAAGCAAAGATATTTTGCCAGGAGGCACTACAAAGTTGAAGTTATTAAAACATTTATAGCCTTAGAAAAAGAAATCAATGCTTGTCGAATAGGAAAGGACAAAATCAGTAGTTGGGACTGGGAGGGGAATTGTTTTCCATCTGCTAAAACAATAGAGGAAATGCAAAAATTAAACTAACAAAACAATCACTTGACAGTGTCCTTTTAAGTTTAAGCTCCTACATTAGGAAACTGCCATTGGGGAGTTAGTCCAGCAGTAGATTGTTTGTCCAGAGTGTGCCCAGTTAATATTCTTCAGCTACACATCTGGTTGTGTTCTACATGAGGCTTTGTGGAGTAACATAACTTCTGCTAAGGCTCACACTCATGCCTTTACTTTGTGTTCTCCCTGAGTGGCTCGTACCAACACGCTTGCCAAGTGTTTGTGTGGTCATTGCTTTTGTGCAACTTGCACATCATGGAACTGCAGCAGTCACACCCTTCCAGCCTCTCCAGTCTTGCTGTTGAATCCCATCTTGAACATATATTTATATACGTATGTGAAGTCTTAATCTAATAAATTATCTGGGTGCTTCATTTGTTCTTCCAGACTTTTATTTGACTCATTGTTTGGTTTGTTTTGTCCAGCTCAGATGACAGTTCTACCACTGACAATATGTTCCACTTTCCACATCATTATGTCATATATATTGTGACTCTCCACAGATGAGGAACTAATTTTAAGCCTTCCTTTCCTTTCCAGGACATGGGGTTTGGTGTGAGGAGGATCAAGGCCTCTTTAGAAGCATGAAGTGGGGCAGAGGTCTCAGAACACAAAAGGGAAGAGAAGGAGAGAGCCAGCACCATGTTGTGGGACAAAAAGGTGGAATTAAAGAGCAAGGAAGAAAGGGTGGAGGTAGAGGCAAGAACAGACAAGAATGTGAGTCAGGGAACTATACCAAAGGATGACAGAGCTGAGCCAGATGGTAGAGACAAGTTGTTAAAATATAGTAAGTTGATGAAGCAGAATTTTGTGCTTATATCCTGGAATGAGAAATGTCTTCAAGCACTGATTCCCAGAAGAGGCTTATGACTTTCCACTCCTTTTCCAGATATTGTTCCTGCATTTTGGGAGCTACTCTTCAAGGGATACCTGGCAAATGAGCAAAAGAAGGAAGTGACCTAACTTTAGCTGCTCCTCTTTAGAGTACGTCGTCAGGGAAGCCAGAGAACAGGGAGGGCAATAGGGTAGAACACAGGTATAACCCAGGCAAGGACTGAATTTAATTGCTAGCAAGGGATGGTGTGGTGTACTTAGATGACAGAAGAATGTAAGACTGGATACAGCAAGATTCTAAATAAGGGAGAAACAAGCAAAACAAAATTTGCAGTGATCCAATAAGCTGAGGTTTGGTGTTAAGGAAGAAGACAGAAGGTCTTAGCTATGCTTGAGAAAGATTGAGCCTGAGATATTGGGAAGATATCCCTTGAAAGTGCATATGAGCCAGGGGTTAAACTCCAGAAGTTACAGCAGAGATTTTCTGAAATATGACCTCCAGGCAGTGTTTGAATTTGTACCATCTGAGAGGGAGAGAGCACAGCCTAGTTAGTTAGAAACCGCCTTTTTCACTGTTACTAAATTTATGAAATTGTGTGCTAATTAGTGTATGATTTATAAATTTACATAACTGCATGCTACATAAGACAACACAGAATATTGAATGAGATAATCTAAACTGGCAGAAACAGAGAAGTCTGCTCTGACTGGGTGGCTTTCCTCTGGAAAATGCCCCTCTCAATCCATAGCTGCTCCCTGCAATCCCCCGAAGGCTTATCTGCTCACAATGGCAAGAAACATTTTACAATATTGTGACTCCATGTAGCTGTGAGAGAACAGGCTACCTTGAGCATCTTTGGTGTGGTTGTGTAGCAGAGCTTTCACTGTAATCCTTGGGGAGAGTGTTTGGAAGCAGAAGTCAGCTAAAGAAGAGCAAGAAACCCAACTTGGTCTGGTCAGTGTTGGTGGTAGATGACTGCCACAGTTGTTCACAGTGGATACTACTGCATCCCAACTCTAGCAAAAGGATGGGGGTGTGGGGGTACTGGATTTGATTCCCAGTTCTGGGGAATCCAATTTGCCTCCCTCCACATCATGATGAAGTGTTTAATACCCTATCTCAGAGGGGCTGTGGCATATTAGTGCCCACAGCAGAAGGTCCTGGATGTACCTACTAACAATTTGTGAGCTGTTAAGCTGTAAGAGCAGAAGCATATCAACCAGTCATTCTCATCTGACAGAAGTCGGACCTCTCAGACTTCATATGTTTTGAGGCTTGAAGGGCATTGGGGAACTAAGCTGGAGAAACTCAGATGTCACCAGCAGATGAGGCCCTGACATGTGAGGTGAGAGAAGCCTGGATGGTCCCAGAAGACAAACTAATCCTGCAGCAAGTGTCACAAATTCATGGTTTTCTTAATTCAGGAGTCATTCTGAGTATGTGAAAAAAGCACTTCATTCACTTATAACATTCAATAGCCAGTCTTACAGTGTAAGTTCATTCTTTCTGGTCTCCTGTCTGCAGACAGGAGGAAAGTGAAAAACTGGAAAAAGTCATCTTTCCTGATTACTTACTGGCAACTACATTAAAACTCTGAAGTGTGGATTTGATTAAAGTCATTGTCCAAACACGAAGTGTCAATTGGTGTCAGCTTTAAGGACAGTGTGGGAACTCCTCTGCTAGACCTGGTAAGAAAGGAAAGATGAATTCACAAATGCAAAAGGAGGAAATTGCGTTGAAATTTTAAAAGCACCTTGTCAGAATCTTCCAGTGTTTAATTACCCTTGCTGCTATGACACTGCCTTATTCTGAAGTTGAGTTTGTCTAATTTCCAGCTGCTGGACTTAGTTGTGCTTTCAGAAGCAGCACTGCAAAGCTCCCCTGTTGTCAGACAGTAAGTACCCCAAATGAAGTGATGAGCTTCTGGTTCAGCCTTCTCTTTGACGAGATGAGGTCCTTTATGCCTGTGTCCTAATGTCAGCTTTCCAGCCCCTGGATGATTGCAGGGGGCCTGTTTCTAAACTTTCTCCAGCATTTATGCATCTTGAAGTGTTTGCACTAGATCAGAATGCCCTATTCCAGATGCTGTGAATGGTGGCAGTGTGGCCTCATTCTGAACAGTATTTCCCTCCCCAACTTTCAGGAGCCTTGTTTGGAGGTATTTGGCTGGGTACCTGATCTCATTGCATTTCAGATCGTGGCTCTATTTCTTGGAAGCAGAAAGTTTGTGAGTGAAACCAGGAGACCCTACTAAATTTAGAATTGTTGAGGAAGAGGAAATAACGTGAAGTAGGAATTCCAGGCAGGAAAAAAAAAAAAAAAGTTCATGGGATTCAATTTGGGATGGAGTGTGAACCTGGGGGTGCAGCATGTGTGAACTCAGCCACACATGCTTGATGGGATGGGGGAGACCCAGACAGCAGAAACCCTCACAAGGGGAATAGTGAAGAAAGCATGAGGCAATGATACCTGATGGCAACAAAATCAGACTTTTAAGCTGCAGGTGAGGAAGCAATGACATCTCCAAATGGCAGAGGAAATGGCTCCTTGTCAGTGGGTCTGGTGCTCCTCTATTTGCACTAGTGTCTTCAGCACAGGGATCTCATTACCAGAGAGTTTACTGGCAGTTTGGAGGGATTTCAGTGAGAAGTAATAAAAATGATCAGGGACTGCTAGAATTGACATAATGAGGAAACACGATGAGAAGAGTCAGATATTTATAGCTTGGGTGAGAGAGACAATTAAAAGATGGGGTGGGAGATGGACTGGGTGACCTGAAAGCCTTGTCTGTTTCTAATAACTTCTTGTCGTCTTCTGTACAGAGGACTTGAATTTACCAAGGCTGTCAATCTGACTCTTAACAGCCCTAACTTCCCATGTTGAAAGCTCAGGTGGGTGTACTCTGGCTGTATTGACACTGTCAGAATGTCACTGTTACTGTACTTTGTTTAAAAAAATAGTCATCAGCTATGTTGTGGAAAAAAATTGACACACTGACAGTAAAGGGAAAAAAAATTAGACCTTCATAAAATAAAAAGCCATTGAAGACCTTGCTGAGTGCACGGCTGATTGGGGAGGGGCTCCCAGCTTGTTCAACTGGTGATGCAGAGCCCTTCTTGCTGCCTGCACAGTGATCTGTCAGGTGGGAAGGTCCATGCAGAGGGAGCAAGTGTGAGCCTTTCCCTCCGCCAGGCAGGTGCTGGTGTCGCCCAGCTGTGCACGCAGCTCAGCAAAACCTCTGCTCTCTAGTACACACGTATGTGCACAGGCTGTTTTCCCCGAGAGCTGCTGATCTCACAGACGGCTCCTGGGGCAAGCTCTGTGCCCCCCAAACCCTGCTGGTGCCGCTGAGGGCTTCAGCCACGTTTTGGGTTTCACTTCCCTTCCTCCTGCCCCTACGCAGTGGGGCCCAGCCCTGGGGGTCAGGCGGGCTCTCCCCTTGACATGGCCTGACTTGTGCCTCACCTATGGAGATTCCTGCACCTGGGCTGGGGTGGGTGTTCGTGCACAGGGGTTTTTGTGCACATAGTTCCCCTCTAGTTTTGCACAAACCCACTAAATATGTATTTGTCACATATCCTACCAAACATGAGCAGCCATTGCATTCTGGTTTTTTTTTGAGGTGGAGACCCCTGAGAAGAGGGAAGGTGGCCTGTCTGAATAATTACACAGCAGCCTTTTGGTGAGGGTTATTTAAAACCTTAACTGAGACCACGGCTGTCTCGTGTGCTCTCCAGCACTGCAGAGGAGAGAGCCCCAGGTTTGCCCTGGACTTGAGAGACCACAGCAGAGTTAGAGTCAGCCAAGCTGGAGACATCTCGGTTCCTGGACTGGCAGTCAAATTAAAACACTGCTACCGAAAGCAACAGGGCTGTGCATGTTAGAGGCACTTTGGGGAAATACCAGAGCGGCGTTTGTTGAGTCTGATGGTGGAGTAGCCACTCTGTTTTAATGATACCTGTGTGCAAAGGCCACAGCTGCTTTCATCCATTTCACATTAGTCTGACTTTCATAGAACAGACATAGCCTAGGGTGGTGGAAGGGAGAAAAAGGTGACCAAAAAAAAAAGAAGCCATACATTTTTCACTACTTTTTCCATCCTTCTGAGCTGCGATACTAGGCTCTGGCTGAGCAACAGTAATCTTATCCAGCATACTGTTGATTTAAGCCTCTTGGTTTTATATAACTTTGGAAATGGTAAACTATATTAATTTGCTGTGTTTTCAAGGGGAAGTTATTTATTGAGAGACATTTTTAACTCAAGTGCCAGGAATCTTAAATCATTATAATAAATTCATGCTATTCAGGGTTTCTTACATTGTAATAAATTTGTTTTAAACATGAATGAGGAGATCCATGATTTCTTTAATATACTGTTATGTATTTCCTTTCAAAATGACACAGCTCACTATATCAAGTGGGAGAATAATAGTGAGAGATTTACAATACTTAAGAATAACACAGCCTGAAAATGTGACATGTGAACCAACACCTGGCAGGGGGCTGGAAAGTGGAGGGACCCCACC